TATTAGAAAAATATATTCTATTTTAATGACTGACTCAAGACACACTTCTGGTAATGAAATAGCAAATGAATTTGAAGACGACGGAAGACACAACAAAGATATTTCCTTTCATCTAAATGGTATATGTTATTGTTACAATGAAACTCAATTGAAATGGACAACATGCTATATAAAGTATTGGTATATATTGTAAATGATGTCCTTTAAGTTCTGCCTACAATGTACTGAGGTGTTTGTTGATACATAGAAACGTATAAATAATTTCGGGCACTGCAGAGAAGCACAATTGGAATTTAAGTCCTATCCAAGAGGTCTACAGTATATCCCTACCAGCAAGTTGCAGAGCCCTTTATTCATTTATCACCTGATCATGTGTAAAATCAATGTTTATAAGGAGATGGTGAGTTATCGTCAATAGAATAACTACCCAATATTTCAAGCGAACTGTACCACTTGATACAAGTATCTAATTGTTAACATACATGCTTAAATGGAAAGGTGTCCATAACATATTTCAAGTATTAAATCATAAGTTTTACAATTGATATTATAATCAAAATGATCCTTCATAGTTCTGACATTAACACTGGAATTGTAGTGAGAGAAAAAGATTTTTCGGCACTTTATCCTTTTCACTAATATACCCTTGCCACAAATACTAGAAACGCCTACGTGAATTTTCAAGGACAACAATAAATAAAACCCACATATATTTCGGTGTCAATTATTTTTGTAAGACTTCTTTGAATATGTAAAGAATACGATTTCCTACATTTTTCAAAACGTTTTGGTTTGAGATTCAATAATAAACTTGACTAATTCAAACCATAATCAATTTAAATTGTGGTTGTTAAAATAAAACATCATTGCTGCTTATAGATAATGTGTTTGTAAACACAATATTTTGGATTCAGGGTGCTAGAATGGTTGCTATGGGAACAAAGATGTATTATTTTTGCTCTTTACATAGAAATATGACCATGTTTAAAAGATCTTATTAAATGTAAAATATAGTGAATTCATATGAGGTGAAAAAAGTTGGGAATTAAACAATCCTAAGGTCGAAAGGTCATCTAGAATCATGAACTTTGGCTGGGAGTATTTTATTTTATTTTTTTGGGGAATTTTGTAATTGATAGAAGTAAATAATAAATTGGAATCATGTTCAGGTCGTTATTAAGCTTATATTTGATTCAATGGTAAGAGGTCAAGGTCATGTCTAAAAAGGCCAGCAACCAACCTTATTTGATATAAAAAAAACTGGTAAATTATTGAGTCAGAGATTTTGTTACCACAAATTAATTAAAACCTTTGTCAAATTCTTTCGTAGATACAAATATTTGGTTAGAAAGTTTGACCAAAACTGTAGAATTCATCATAAAAAATGGGATAGAACATCACCATCCAAAAAGGGAAAATTAACAATAGGGAACGAAAAATCGTCCCCTTTGTCGTAAATTTTAGTGTGGAGTTTCCCGTGTAAAACCGAAATATCTAGATTTAGGAAAGGACAGTTGTTACCGTTTAAATTTGATTTATTTAAAGTAAGTTCCTTTGGTTAAATTTCGGCAGTATATTAAGAAAACTCTTGATTATTTAACGAAAAAATATCATCAAGATAACGGTAAGTGTTGTTGAATTTATCAATTAAATGCAATTAAGACAGGTCTTTACTGAGTTTGGTCATAAACTGTGATTCATAACAGTACAAAAACAATTATGCTATTAAAGGGGCGCAATTAGTGCCCATAGGAATACCTACAACCTGTCGATAAACTTTGCTGCCGAAACGTACATTTCTTACCGATATAACATGTTACTTTTTTTATTCTTCCCTTAGTTAATTTATTTTGTATTCAAAATTATTTATTTTGTAAAAATATTTCCTTTCTCTATTGGTACTGTACAGGTATACCTAACAACAAAATTATTTTCATTTACCTGTGTTTAAAGTTATTGCAAATGGATGGTATTTTTGTTCGAGCATATTGTTTTTCTTTAATTGTTTAACATTTCTTACCGATGTAACATGTTACTTTTATTATTCTTCCCTTAGTTTATTTATTTTGTATTTACATTGTGTCATAGGTCAAATTTATTTGTTCAGTGTATGTTCAATGGTGTTAATATGTCCTTTGATTGAGTTAAGCTATTTCAGTTGATATTTTATAGTGTGTCTTTCTATGTTGTGATGTTACACTATTGTTTCAGAAAAAGGGTGAAGGTTTGGTACCATTAAAACGTTTAAACCCGCTGCATTTGTTTGCACCTGTCCTAAGTCAGGAATCTGATGTTCAGTAGTTGTCGTTTGTTGATGTGGTTCATAAGTGTTTCTCGTTTCTCGTTTTTTATATAGATTAGACCGTTGGTTTTCCCGTTTGAATGGTTTTACACTAGTAATTTTTGGGGCCCTTTATAGCTTACTGTTCGGTGTGAGCCAAGGCTCCGTGTAGAAGACCGTACTGTGACCTATAATGGTTTACTTTTTTAAATTTTTACTTGGATGGAGAGTTGTCTCATTGGCACTCATACCACATCTTCTTATATCTATAAATATTATCAAGGAGAAAATTAACAGCTTCAATCATCTCATCACACCTCAAGTAAGTATATTTAGCATATTTACCTTTCTCATTAGAGAAGAAGGCTTTAAATGAGTTGCAGCAAATATATTTGCATTCCGATTTACCAAACGACCATTTAATTAAATAGTCAAATTTTTGTTTGATAAGATTGTGTGGAAGTGTAGTGTAAAGAGTAGAAAAGTCAAAACTGTCAACAGAATCAAAAGGACCATCAAAAGCACGTAATTTATCAAAAACATCCAAAGAGTTTTTTACACTCCAAAAATAGTTAATTCCACTATTTTCATATATTTTATTGCGAAAGTTTATGATAAGCTCTTTGATAGTAGTTAAGGAACTTGTTAAAAGCACTGAAAGATTAGTTGTAGAACACTTACTAGAGGCCGAGATGAAACGATATTTTACTGGTTTTTTGTGTAGTTTAGGTAACCAATACATAGTAGGGACCTTCAAATGTTCAGAAGAAGCCTTAAGCTGTGATGTGGTAATGATATGTTTGTTAACTATATGACTTTCTGTGGGGCGCATGGACTTGAATGCAGATGAATTTAAAATTTCATTCTTAAGAACGTCCGTGTAGTATTTACGGCAAACCACCACCACATTGTTGGCTGCTTTGTCGACCGGTACAAACACAAACCGCTTTGAAAGTTCTTGAAGTTTATTTCTTATTCTAGAAATAGGCGTATTATGTACTCTATTATTTACTTCTAAATTATTTTGAAAATGTGATATTCTATTATCTACCACATTCATACATTTATTTAAATAAGAATCAAGAGATTTTTTATCAGATTTTCCCCGTTTACACCAATTTTTACAAAACGAGGAAAGAGCATCTTTGGTGACCTGACGACACTGTTTCCAATCTATTTTAGATGAAAGACGATATTTTGGTCCTTTTTTCAAAACGTTTTTAACCTCTTTGTCCTGGACGATATTGAGGTCCCCCGTAATTACATGGCTATAGGGAACATATCTAAACTTCGACGATTCACAGTTTCAAGTTAAAGGAGTATTATTTTCTACATTGACGTCTGATGTTACCGGCGTATTATAGTTAAAAATTAAACATCTGCTGGGTTTTTTGTATGTGTATGAAATAATAGGTGGTTCTGTGTTATCAAAATAGGGAGGTATGAAGTTATGAACGGTATATTCATTAAATATACTAGATAAGTTAATAAAATCAATACCTCTGCTAATATATTTATTTTTTAGAAAATGACGTTTATGATCTTCAGGTTTGTCGATACGCGGAAACAGCCTATGGTGGCAAAAAGCTGTATACGCGAATATTCATACAGCGGGCTAAAGAAAGAGATGATGTCACACTCCTTGAAAATATCATGAAATTTACTAATTGTTATTTGACCCAGTTTACATAATAATTGATGCCTACCATTGTTTTTAAATATAGATAGGAGATTACCAAGTGTATAATTTATACGATGATTAATTCGTTGATTTCGATTGATACGTTTGCCATGGGACCTATTATTTCGTTGTCTTTTATCCATAATATTCATGATATCAATAGAAGAAGTTGTAGATATGTTCCCTTGTCCAAGTATATTGTCATTTAGACCCAGGGGATAAGCCGTTTGAAGTAGTTTAATCCAAGACAGTTCGATAAATTTACAGGAATCTTCAAATTGTTTATGCAATTGCCCTTGTTGTTTCTGGGTCGTTTCGAGCGGTTGAAATCTAATAAATTTAATATTGTGGTTGTGTTTACCTAAATGTTGATAAATTATACTTTTGGATTTCTTAGGTTTTCGGAAGCGGTATAGATGTTCCTGTGTTGTTTAAAAAACTCCCGTCCTGTTTGTCTTACATATTGTATACCACACTTTGGCTTTGTTCATGTTACCAGATAAATGAGGCTTTGGGTTTTTCATGTAATGTCACAGAAAAAGGAAAGCGAAAAAGCTCTTCCATTCACTGTTGACCTTACAGTATTATCAGAAGATAATCTAGATCAGGTTTGTCATTATCTGGCATTGCACGGAAATATTTGTGGATATCCACGTGCATTTTTATTGAATAATCTGGCTGCAGCAGCATTGCCACCTTTGACACAATTATAAAAAGTGTTAAATTTAGATGGGGAATTTCGATTGACGGCGGTTGAATTAATATTTGGAATGAGGTTTTTAGAGCACGTGAATATCCTTGAAGGATTATTGTTTAATGTTTTCTTTCCATTTCGTAAAATCATGATTAATTAAAGTGTAATGAGAAGAATAAATGAAGCCGAAAATCATAACATTGAATAAGAGTTACAATAACAGAAAATATAAACAATTTATAAAACAGTCGAAGAATTCTTATAAAAACTATATTGAACAGCCCGACAGAATGACGTCAGTAAAACAAGACAGACATATAACAAACATTGGTCCGAGAAAACAGTTATGACGTAGTGAACTTATCTAAAACAGAAAACAACAAAAATATTTTAACAAAAATTAGCACCTGCTCTATCCAAAAAATATTTTTACAGTGTAGTGTATTAATATTGGGACACATTATATATCAAAATTATAGAAAAGTAAAAAAACTGTCACTCAATTTAAAGACAATTTTAGGTTATATCATGTTATATATAGTCGGACAGATTCAGATCTAGACATTCAAATTTTTGACCTTTTCTAGATCAGAACACTAATTTACCTACACGTAAAAAAAAAACTGTTTATACATGTAATTTAAACTCCATATTACTATATTATGCATAAAATATAAGGAAATAAAATTGAAATGTGTATGAACAAAAAGTAAAACACTGTCCGCATTAGGGACTATATTCGTAGACAACGAAAGAAGGACGGTCCCGGACATATTAAAAGACAAATACAGGAAAATATAAGAACTCTCAGTAAAACCATAGAAGGGGGCAGGATAAAAATACAGTAAAAGAAATAGTACAAAAATCATGATAATGGAATATGTAGACAGCTCTCTCACAAGCCATATTAAGACAGCTTGATCCTTTGAGTAAGATTTCTATAGTATACAACGATTTACATGTACCTATGTATGAAACATTAAGATTTCCACCATCAATATGTATATTCTTGTCTAAAACAGCATAAGTCTTGTTCGTTGTAATTTTCTGTTGAAATACTGCAAATAAAATAATGATATTAGAACATTGTGTAGAATAAGAAATCATTGCATTGCTTGTCATGCCCTTTTTGCCGTCGAACTTAAATAACTATTGAATATCTTATTTTCTTTGATAAAGTTGGAAAATTCAGCTATTTGAATATATTCTCTTATGATTGTAGCCTGTTATTTATTTCCGGCTCGTAGAGATATTTCTCGCATTGCACTGAACGCAGTTTTTTTATAACAAAAAAATGACAAGATAATGTATTTGTCAGTCAGTGCGGTTTTTCTTGTTTTTTGTTCAAATAGAAACGTCAACATTTTGTAAAACAATGTGAGAAGTTGTGCAATGTATGTTACTAATGTGTTGTCAATGTTAAAATTAATTTAAAAAATACTTGTTTAGGAAGCATCAAATTCGATTGTAGACATAATGATAATTTCAAAGTTCTATCGTCGAACTTCGAATATTCGAAAACAAATATATATATATATATATATATAGATTGCCTAACAATGTAATTTTAACACACTATTTAGTATGTAAATATAAGAATGTTTAAAATATTTACAAAATGATGAAAATAAACGCAATATTTCGCTAGACTAACTAGCTTTATCAAGCGTGCATCTATCCAGGTGAAATCGGATGTAGATGATAAGAAACTTTTGCAGCTCAATGTATATGTTGCACTTGAATTTAGCTGCCTTGAAAATAATACATAATTTGGATGAAGTTCAAGATTTTTACAAAATTGGTAGTTGAAGTTAGCAACGTCCATTGGCCAATATTACAGGATTAAAAGGACGATGCTGTGTACTAAATTATTCTTTATCTTTCCTGTTTCTTTTCTCATCTTTTTCGTTAAGACCATCAGGTTCTAAAGTGTGGAGTTGGTGGATCCAAAAATTTTCTCTTCTCCTTCTCGCCGTGGTGTCCCACTCGGTGTTGACTTCTATGATTTGGAAGGTAACATTATCAAAAGAATGTTTCGTTGAACGAAGATGTCTTGTGAGAGGACAGTTTTTGTTGGTTTTGTACCATGAACGATGGTTATTGAGCCGAATATTAAATTTGTCCATTGTTTCTCCCACATACTGAATGCCACATGTGTCACATGTTAATATATAAATTGAGTTCTCCGTTTTACAGTTGGAGTTTGAGTAGATGGTATAATTTTGTTTAGTAACGGAGCTGATGAAAGAACTGCTTGTATTGGCAGCTTTACAACACAAGCAGTTCCTTCGACCACATTGTTTGTAGCAACCGGGAGATGGAGTAGGCTGCTTTGCTAATACAGATGTCACTAATTTGTCACGGATGTTTTTAGGTCTTCTGAAGGCCATGACTGGTGGTGAGGAAAATATTTTTTTAAGATTTGAATCATTTTCTATAATTTTCCAATGCTTCTGAACAATGGAAGACACATTTTTAAAATCAGGATGGTAAGTGAGTACAAGGGGTGTTCTGTTAGCTGCTTTATTCTTATCTTTGTACTCTAGAAGTTCTTGGCGACTAGTTTTGTTTGCTCTTTCGAAAGCGCTATCAATGATGTTGTTATTGTATCCTCGAACAACTAGATGTTTACGTAGTTGTCCAAGTCTAGCATTTTGCGTATTTTCAGTAGAGCATATTCTCTTGATTCGCAATGCCTGGCTGAATGGGATGCCACGGGAGCAGTGTTTAGGATGGCAACTTTTAGGATAAAGGAATTGATGTTTGTCCGTTTGTTTGGTATGAAGGTCCGTTATAATGGTTCCGTTCTTGATGTAACTCGTAGTGTCGAGGAAGTTTATTTTCTCCATAGATGATTCATATGTAAATTTTATTGAATGGTGGAAAGAGTTACAGTGTCCTAGAAATTCATTAAGATGTTCTTGTGAATCTGTCCATTTGAAATCAATATCGTCAATGAATCGGAACCATGATAAGGGCTGGTATGGAGCACTAGCCAAGAGGCGTTTTTCAAGTTGGCCCATAAATATGTTGGCATATGACGGGGCCATTTTTGTGCCCATACTAGTACCGTCTATCTGGAGATAATGTTTTTCATTGAAAGAGAAGTTGTTGTTCTCTAGCACTAGTTTCAGAAGTGTAACAAGGCACTCAGTTGGAGGATTTTTTTCACTACGAGTGTTCCATACCTCTTCACACGCTGCTATTCCTTCGTCTTGTGGAATGTTGGTATATAAAGAAGACACGTCCATGGATGCAAGTATAGTATTGCTTGGTAGAGGATTGAGGCTTTCCATTTTCTTTAGATAATCAGTCGTATCTTGAATGTAAGAGGGTAGTTCTTTCACATGAGGTCTTAGATGATGGTCTAAAAATTCTGATATCTTTTCAGTTGGATGACTATTTGCTGAAACAATTGGTCGACCTGGATTGCCCGTTTTATGTATTTTAGGCAACATATAGAATCTTCCGGCCTTTGCTTCGTTCTCAAGAGGTCGGAGATAATCAAAGGTGTCATTGTCTATATGCTTTTTGTCGAACATCTCTTGAAGGATGGTGTTGATCCTTCGAATATTATTTAGTGTTGGATCTGTGGTTAATTGTTTATAAAAAATGGAGTTTGAAAGTTGGCGATTTCCCTCTGCTATGTAATCTGTTTTATTCATGACAACCACAGCGCCCCCTTTACATATGAATCATCTATGGAGAAAATAAATTTACATATGAATCATCTATGGAGAAAATAAACTTCCTCGACACTACGAGTTACATCAAGAACGGAACCATTATAACGGACCTTCATACCAAACAAACGGACAAACATCAATTCCTTTCTCCTAAAAGTTGCCATCCTAAACACTGCTCCCGTGGCATCCCATTCAGCCAGGCATTGCGAATCAAGAGAATATGCTCTACTGAAAATACGCAAAATGCTAGACTTGGACAACTACGTAAACATCTAGTTGTTCGAGGATACAATAACAACATCATTGATAGCGCTTTCGAAAGGGCAAACAAAACTAGTCGCCAAGAACTTCTAGAGTACAAAGATAAGAATAAAGCAGCTAACAGAACACCCCTTGTACTCACTTACCATCCTGATTTTAAAAATGTGTCTTCCATTGTTCAGAAGCATTGGAAAATTATAGAAAATGATTCAAATCTTAAAAAAATATTTTCCTCACCAACAGTCATGGCCTTCAGAAGACCTAAAAACATCCGTGACAAATTAGTGACATCTGTATTAGCAAAGCAGCCTACTCCATCTCCCGGTTGCTACAAACAATGTGGTCGAAGGAACTGCTTGTGTTGTAAAGCTGCCAATACAAGCAGTTCTTTCATCAGCTCCGTTACTAAACAAAATTATACCATCTACTCAAACTCCAACTGTAAAACGGAGAACTCAATTTATATATTAACATGTGACACATGTGGCATTCATATGTGGGAGAAACAATGGACAAATTTAATATTCGGCTCAATAACCATCGTTCATGGTACAAAACCAACAAAAACTGTCCTCTCACAAGACATCTTCGTTCAACGAAACATTCTTTTGATAATGTTACCTTCCAAATCATAGAAGTCAACACCGAGTGGGACACCACGGCGAGAAGGAGAAGAGAAAATTTTTGGATCCACCAACTCCACACTTTAGAACCTGATGGTCTTAACGAAAAAGATGAGAAAAGATACAGGAAAGATAAAGAATAATTTAGTACACAGCATCGTCCTTTTTATCCTGTAATATTGGCCAATGGACGTTGCTAACTTCAACTACCAATTTTGTAAAAATCTTGAACTTCATCCAAATTATGTATTATTTTCAAGGCAGCTAAATTCAAGTGCAACATATACATTGAGCTGCAAAAGTTTCTTATCATCTACATCCGATTTCACCTGGATAGATGCACGCTTGATAAAGCTAGTTAGTCTAGCGAAATATTGCGTTTATTTTCATCATTTTGTAAATATTTTAAACATTCTTATATTTACATACTAAATAGTGTGTTAAAATTACATTGTTAGGCAATCTATAATTTTATTTGTGTAATTGAATTAATCTCTGTACTGATTAATCCACACTCCCATAGATTTGTATGTCATGTGCTGCTATTTATAGGCACTTATATTATTATCTTCAGTAGCACGCATTTCACAAATGTTTGTGTAATCCATTCAAATCTATCGCTATCTTTACAACATGGATAGCGCACAGCATTTCAAGAAATTAAGATCTTTAACTAAAAAGAAACTACAAACTGAACATCATTTATCAAACTTAAAAAAATATATTCAAAGTAGAACTGTACCAAAAGGTTTAAACATCAAAGTGAGTCCCCAGGCACCGGGACATAAATCCAAAAGATTCATGAGCCGTTGGAATGAAATTCTGTTTAACTGTTCAATACAGCTACTTCAACTGTTACTTTCTTTTACAACCACAAATTACAAACAAATTGTAAATGAAATATCAGATATCATCAACAATAGTAACATTTCACGTGACGATTTACCAATAATTAAACGTCGCCTCGCAGATATTGAAAAAATTGAACTATCCAAACATAAAGAAAAACAAAGGAATAAATTTCAAAGAGATAAAATTCACACTGTCTATTTAAATCAGGATATGAATGATATCAATACAACAAACCATAAGGTCCCTAGAAAAAGAAAATTCAAAAGACGGAAACAAAAAACTGAAAGCATTGTTGTAAATTTGTCATCTAAAGAACTTACACGTGCTGAAGAATCTCTTTTAAGTAAAGGTTTAAACTTCTGTCCTATCCCATCAAATGTAAATAACTTTCAGCTAGACGAGGACTTAGACCAATTCGCTAGACGTTTACGCTTGAAAGATTTTTTCTACAATAGGGGCAAGAAAAACCTTGAAGAAGCTGGATTGACAGATTCAGATACTGACACCAATGAAGAAGTCACGCCCATCCCAAAATTTAAGAAAAAAAGTTCATGGAAACCACCTAAGAGTAAAAATGATAACTTGGAGTCATTCATTAACTACGTGAGGTCTGATATAAAGTCCTGTATAACAAAT